TCTGGTCTGGTCTGGTCTGGTCTCTGGTCTGGTCTCTGGTCTGGTCTCTGGTCTGGATCTGGTCTGGTCTCTGGTCTGGTCTGGTCTCTGGTCTGGTCTGGTCTGGTCTGGTCTGGTCTCTGGTCTGGTCTGGTCTGGTCTTGGTCTGGTCTGGTCTCTGGTCTGGTCTGGTCTGGTCTCTCTGGTCTGGTCTGGTCTGGTCTGGTCTCTGGTCTGGTCTCTGGTCTGGTCTCTGGTCTGGTCTGGTCTCTGGTCTGGTCTGGTCTCTGGTCTCTGGTCTGGTCTGGTCTGGTCTGGTCTCTGGTCTGGTCTGGTCTGGTCTGGTGGTCTGGTCTGGTCTGGTCTGGTCTCTGGTCTCTGGTCTGCTCTGGTCTGGTCTGGTCTCTGGTCTGGTCTGGTCTGGTCTCTGGTCTGGTCTGGTCTCTGGTCTGGTCTGGTCTCTGGTCTGGTCTGGTCTGGTCTGGTCTGGTCTCTGGTCTCTGGTCTCTGGTCTGGTCTGGTCTCTGGTCTGGTCTCTGGTCTGGTCTGGTCTGGTCTGGTCTGGTCTCTGGTCTGGTCTCTGGTCTCTGGTCTGGTCTGGTCTCTGGTCTGGTCTGGTCTCTGGTCTGGTCTCTGGTCTCTGGTCTGGTCTCTGGTCTGGTCTGGTCTCTGGTCTGGTCTCTGGTCTGGTCTGGTCTGGTCTGGTCTGGTCTCTGGTCTGTGGTCTGGTCTGGTCTGGTCTCTGGTGCGGTGTGTTTAATCCAGATGCCCTCCCTCAGGTACGAGACAGAGTTGACCATGCGTCAGTCTGTGGAGGCCGACATCGCGGGGCTCAGGATGATGTTGGGAGAACTGGGAATGGCCAAAGCCGACCTGAGTCTGCAGATCGACGCCCTGAAGGACGACCTGGTCACGCTCAAGAAGAACCACGAGGAGGTACTTCTACTACAATACTACAAATACTACTACAAATACTACTACAAATACTACTACAAATACTACTCCAAATCCTCCCAATCCTGAAGAAGACGGACACAGACTAACGGTTTGTCTGTGGCGCCCCCTGCAGGACCTGCTGCTCTTGCGCTCTCAGATGAGTGGGCAGGTGAACGTGGAGGTGGACGCCGCTCCTCAGGAAGATCTCACCAAAGTCATGGCCGAGATCCGCGAGCACTACGAGGCCGTGGCCGCCAAGAACCAGAGGGACCTGGAGGGATGGTTCCACGCCAAGGTACACACCTGGTTCAGTCCTGGTTCAGACCTGGTTTAGTCCTGGTTTTAGTCCTGGTTTTAATCCTGGTTTAGACCTGGTTTAGTCCTGGTTTAGACCTGGTCCTGGACTGTCTTTGGTCCTGTTTCTGAGCCTCTTTCTTCTCAGTCTGAGGCGCTGTCGAAGGAGGTGGCCACCACAGAAATGACCCTGAAGTCGTCCACATCAGAAATCAAAGAAGTGAAGAGCACTCTGCAGGCGCTGGAGATCGAGCTGCAGTCCATGATGAGCATGGTGAGACCTGCAGCTCACGACCTGACTCCACCTAGTCCTGGTCTAGTCCTGGTCTAGTCCTGGTCTAGTCCTGGTTTAGATCTTTGAAGATCTGACTTCTTCTTCTTGTTCTTGTAGAAAGCGTCTCTTGAAATGTCTTTGTCTGAGATCCAGGCCAGATACGCCGCTCAACTCAGCGGCTTCCAGATGAAGGTACCTCCTACCTCCTACCTCCTACCTCCTGTCTCCTACCTCCTGTCTCCTACCTCCTGTCTCCTACCTCCTACCTCCTGTCTCCTACCTCCTACCTCCTACCTCCTCCTACCTCCTGTCTCCTACCTCCTACCTCCTGTCTCCTACCTCCTACCTCCTGTCTCCTCCTACCTCCTACCTCCTACCTCCTGTCTCCTACCTCCTACCTCCTACCTACCTCCTGTCTCCTACCTCCTGTCTCCTACCTCCTACCTCCTACCTCCTGTCTCCTACCTCCTGTCTCCTACCTACTCCTACCTCCTACCTCCTACCTTCCTCCCTGAATCCTACCTAAACCTGTATTTATGAAAACCCACCTGAGATGCAGCGTCTCGTTTTCATAGAAGACCTAGAAGACCTGCTACTTCCTACTTCCTACTTCCTAACCCCTCCCTCCTGCGTCCTAACCCCTGTCTCCTCCTCCTTGCAGGTCGGGGCGTTGGAGGGGCAGCTGGTGGGCGTCAGAGCAGATCTGGAGCGACAGGGGCAGGAGTACAGCATGCTCCTGGACATCAAGACCCGCCTGGAGCTGGAGATCGCAGAGTACAGGAGACTCCTGGAGGGAGGAGTGTCCAGGTACTGACTCACGAGGAGGAAGGAGGAACATCTGAGGAGCACAGGGAAGGAGGAACATCTGAGGAGCACAGGGGTTGTAGAAGTTTTCCAGGTGGTCCACAGAAATCAGAGGAGACAGGAGAAGTTTGGAGACGTGACCCTGAACCCTGGAGATGCTTCCAGAAAGAGTTTAAAGGTCCAGATTACACCTGGTTTAGACCTGGTTTGGACCTGGTTTAGACCTGGTTTGGACCTGGTTTGGACCTGGTTTGGACCTGGTTTAGACCTGGTTTGGACCTGGTTTGGACCTGGTTTGGACCTGGTTTAGACCTGGTTTGGACCTGGTTTAGACCTGGTTAAATCCTGATTCTTAAGTCCTGGTTTGGACCTGGTTTGGACCTGGTTTGGACCTGGTTTGGACCTGGTTTGGACCTGGTTTGACCTGGTTTGGACCTGGTTTGGACCTGGTTTGGACCTGGTTTGGACCTGGTTTGGACCTGGTTTGGACCTGGTTTAGACCTGGTTTGGACCTGGTTTGGACCTGGTTTGGACCTGGTTTGGACCTGGTTTACCTGGTTTACCTGGTTAGACCTGGTTTGGACCTGGTTTGGACCTGGTTTGGACCTGGTTTGGACCTGGTTTGGACCTGGTTTGGACCTGGTTTGGACCTGGTTTAGACCTGGTTTGGACCTGGTTTGGACCTGGTTTGGACCTGGTTCTTTAGTCCTGGTTCAGACTTTTACTAAAACAAATCTATGTTCAGAATTTGAGTTTTTTAACTTTTTGCTTCGACCCAAAGTGAGAAAAACTGAGTCGCTTCTGTTTTTATAAAAGTTTTAGATCCAGGTTCGTTTTTAAAAAACCTGAACCTCATGTTGTTCTTCAAACCTGCTCCTCCAGCATCATCTAGAACCTTCTCTGACTCGTCTGTTTTTGTTTCAGCGCCGTGTCCGCCTCCGCTAAGTCTTCCTCGTCCTTCTCCTCGTCCTCGTCCGAGGTCTCCAGCTCCTCGTCTTCCTCCTCCACCACCGTCACCAAAGTCGTGACCACCGTGGTAGAAGAAGTCATCTCCTCGTAAGAACCTCCCCAGACCCTCAGCGCCGCCATCGGGAGAACAGAGAACAACACGAGAACAACACGAGAACAACACGAGAACAACACGAGCAGAACATCTCCCACCCTGACGACCGAAGCCACGCCCAGAGGAAGCAGAGCGCCGCACGTCCTCACGCCGACGCCAACGCCAACGCCGCGATGAACGTGTGAGCGCCCCCTGTCTGTCTCTGAGAGAATAAACCAAAAACTCAAACACTCAAGTCTCACTCTCTTTATTTCACTCAGACCCCGTTTAGTCCTGGTTTAGTCCTGGTTCAGTCCTGGTTTAGTTCTGGTTCAGTCCTGGTTTAGTCCTGGTTCAGTCCTGGTTTAGTCCTGGTTTAGTCCTGGTTTAGTCCTGAGTTAGACCTGGTTTAGACCTGGTTTAGTCCTGGTTTAGTCCTGAGTTAGACCTGGTTTAGTCCTGGTTTAGTCCTGGTTTAGACCTGGTTTAGTCCTGGTTTAGACCTGGTTTAGTCCTGGTTTAGTCCTGGTTTAGACCTGGTTTAGACCTGGTTTAGTCCTGGTTTAGTTCTGGTTTAGACGTGGTTTTGTCCTGGTTTAGTCTTGGTTTAGACCTGGTTTAGTCCTGGTTTAGTCCTGGTTCAGTCCTGGTTTAGTCTTGGTTTAGACCTGGTTTAGTCCTGGTTCAGTCCTGGTTTAGTCCTGGTTCAGTCCTGGTTTAGTCCTGGTTCAGTCCCGGTTCAGTTCCGGTTCAGTCCTGGTTTAGTCCTGGTTCAGTCCTGGTTTAGTCCTGGTTTTAGTCCTGGTTCAGTCCTGGTTTAGACCTGGTTTAGACCTGGTTCAGTCCTGGTTTAGTCCTGGTTCAGTCCTGGTTTAGTCCTGGTTCAGTCCCGGTTCAGTTCCGGTTCAGTCCTGGTTCAGTCCTGGTTTAGTCCTGGTTTAGTCCTGGTTCAGTCCTGGTTTAGTCCTGGTTCAGTCCTGGTTTAGTCCTGGTTCAGTCCTGGTTTAGTCCTGGTTTAGTTCTGGTTTTTAAAGAGAAAAACTCGTTTTGTCGTTTGTTAGTTTTTTATTATTAACTCTTCAGGTACAAGTCGCTGCATCGTTTCCTCTGTTTACTCTTATTGTGAAGGGCTGTACTTCCTGTAGCTCTTATTGTGAAGGGCTGTACTTCCTGTAGCTCTTATTGTGAAGGGCTGTACTTCCTGTAGCTCTTATTGTGAAGGGCTGTACTTCCTGTAGCTCTTATTGTGAAGGGCTGTACTTCCTGTAGCTCTTATTGTGAAGGGCTGTACTTCCTGTAGCTCTTATTGTGAAGGGCTGGACACAGTGAGCGATCGGTGGTTGTGCTGAGTTTGGTCCCACGAGTTTCCGGCTTCAGAATTCCAGATGAAAAACGAGGAATGTTCGTCAGAAAAAACGTACAAATATCGTAAAAAATAAAAAAATAAAAAATAAAAACAGGTTAAAGGTAAAGTGTCCAAAGCTCCGGACTCGGGCTCCAGCGGCGAATCGTCCAGAGGCACCGAAACACGACACCAAAACACCACGACATTCACCAAAACACGGCTCCAAAACCCACGGACGACGACGACGACGACGAGGGAGGAGGAGGAGGGATTCACAGCACTGTGGCACAACGACATGCTCCCCGCGCTAAACCGCTCCCCCTTCA